CTCGTATATTCAACGTTTTATTAACATGACACAAATATCAATTCTGCATTTATAAAGTCATTTCAATCTGGTTCTGAGATTTTTTTCAATTATAAGACCGCTGCATCTGCATTGCTGGAATCCCTTCAGAAAAAAACGGAGCTGCTAAGAATATTCCTAAATGTGAGTGGTAACTTGACCTTCACAGAGTAAAATTTCAATATTTCACACGAACTGTACTATTTTTACAGTACGGTTAGCCTGGAATCGATTTGTCTCTCACATTTTTAGACATCTACATAATTCTCCACAATGTCACACTCTGTTCTGATGAGTGTTTTAACATCTTAGATCACGCGTCCACAACTTTTCAAGTTAAAATCAAAGAAGCTATCCACATTCAATGGGAGAAACCTACTCTTAATCATCAACTTTATCATGTTAATTTAAAACTTTCCTTGTAAATGCATGCATTGTTCTATTACTATTGTCTGTTTTGTCCAATCAGCATTTTGTCACACACTTTAATTCAACTTTGTACTTTGTATTATACAGAAATGAAGATAATAGAAGAACTGTCGAAACATGTTTTTAAAGAGTTGAATGCCCTTTATAAAACAATTAAAGCTAATCTTCACGTCAAGTGCAGTTCTCCAGCGCAGACAAAACAAACAATATCACTAGTCTCAATGTTTCTGTTGAATTTATTATAAATTTGCCTCAAAATCCTAACCACTTCTTATAGTATTTCCGAAATTGTGGGAAGCAAATACACGGTCTATGGTGTTAGATTTTCATGGTGAACAAAACGTGACAATCAGAACAACAATCATACAATGCAATGAATCAAGAACAAGCTGTTCACCATACAACACTAATTTCTGGTTACCATGTATCTGCGGCAAGTGAACATCATCGGAAAAACCAAGAGAACATCATTGAATTTGCTTTCACTCGCATTCAATACTTTGTAATGGAAATCTAATGTAAATTTTAAATTTTTATCGAAATTACAGTTTTAAGGCTACTATTTTCATACTAATGATGTGAAAACCTTACATTAGCTGAGCGAAAAAAAAAAACGCGTTACTGAAGAGTTCAGAATAATGTTGGGTCGCACTTTAGGAGGAAACTATGCGCTGTGAAGCCCACCATACTCAGCGAAAGGCACCAAGTACTCTCGATCTGCCTTTCTCGGTTCTCTAATACACAATCAATTCTACTTACATCCAATTTTTCCCCAGTCTGTGGAACTCTGGTTAATTTCTTCGACTCTTACAATTTGATTCTCTCTGAATACTTTTTACTGACCTCTCCCTGAATTGTGCTTGTGATTTGTGCATGGGTGGGCATGCCAGTCACCTGGCCTTGAATGGTTATTTTAGACCACGACGTCTACAAAGTAGACAATGACTCAAGCATGACGATTCTATTCAAAAGGATTCAGACATTTTTCGCTCATAAATGGTATATTTAGCTTTTCTTTATAAAAAAATGTTAGATAAAAAATATTAGAGAATACTCGAACATCAGATTTCAAAATACTTAAAAGTACATTTTTTCTATAACTATCATTTTCTCTAGTTTCAGAATACGCTGTCTCTAAATGCCCTGCAACCAGGTACGTTCTAAAATAGATGAAATGTCTGGCCGTCAGAAATTTTCACAGAATTTCCACCAACAGGTTCTTTCAAACTTGTTAAGATTATCAGATGTTTGTTTAGAAATGTCAAAGATAGTTGGCTTTTAGTGGACAAATTCTCCGTGCCGTGCAGCCTATAACATCGCTCGGTTGTCGACACTTTGTACGCTTCTGATCAGATTGCCGGACACGGATAAAGCCCGGCGGTCAGAATTTTTCAAAGTGCCACTAAATGGTTCCATTCTCCGTTCTCCGTTGATCAAAATCTTAGATAAAAGTAGTACAGAATACTTGGCGATAAGATTTTAAAATACTCAAAAGTACATTTTGGCTAAAACTATTATTTGTTTTAGTTTAAGAGCAAGTTGTTAAACCGTTATTTCTTTAGAGATTTTTTTAGTAAAAATTCGATCTGTTTTGCATTTATCGAGCGCCGTCTTTTCCCAAAAGATTTAAATTGCAAAAAAACAATATATATATATATACAACTGCGTTTATGTTGTTTTAAAACACTTGGTTCATACGCGCGTTCATGGAGACATGGAGCGCCTTGAGCAACTTCTCTGTCGCTGTCTAAACTTCCCGTATATCGGCCATGAGCGTACGCTAAAGTATAAACTAATTGTTAATTCAAAGTGACAATATGGTTAACTAGTGGATACCCTGTATAGAACATGGAGATATCAGATGTTGGAAGAAAATATAATGAAAAGGAATTGATTGAATCAACGGTTTTTTATATCTCTGCTTCAATAAGTTTGTGGAGTGATGGTCTTGAATCTGTTCATGGGTGCACAGCTGTCTTGAGGTTGCGACGTTTGAGAGTCGTGTAGCCGAACTAAAACCATGTGTACCTGATCTAGAAATGTATTCAAGCGAGAAACTTCAGAATCATGCGGTCAAGTCGGTCACAGCTGACTGCGTTAATCAATCAATATCTTTGTCTCACTGCACAGGGTGGTTTGACTAATCTCATGTTATGACTATATTTGGTCATGGATGATTGAAATCAGGCTCGTTGGCCTGACAACTTTGGTGCATGGTACTATAGGCACACATTTTTTTCGAAGTATTTGTTTGTTATTACAACACAATATTAGTTAAGTGCAAGTAGGAACACCACTGCTGCCGCGGTACACACCATCAAAGACAAAATTTCATTTGGAATTTGTCAGTTAAGAGGGTGGCGTTCTCTGAAGTGAAAAGACCTTGAATGACCTTCATAACGATGAGGTACCTTTTATATTAAAGGGTCACGTGACAGACTCTGAAAGAACTGTCAATAACAGAGCTGCCACTTGTTACGCCCTTATGTCAAGTATCGTTTAAAAGTTATGCTGGTCAGAATTCCAAGGTTATCCAGAGAACTTTCTAAAACATTTGCAGAGAAAGCTTGCAAAAGTGGATGCAAATCCCAGTTCTGATAACTCGAACGCTTGCTCGTAGGATTCTGTCATTCATGTATACCGTAGGGTATACCCCAAGATAGCTTTAGAAGATAACAGCATAAATCTGAAATATGTTGAAAGACCAAATTTTGTTTTTCTAACACACGTTTCAGTTGTCTTTGTAAGTGACTTCTTCTTTCTTTATTACATCTAGCGAATTTTCTAACGTTAACATTGGAAGCGTTCTTTCGGAGAGCGTAGATTTCTTTCAAGCCTACGAAATTTACTGTTCAAAGCAGGTAAAGTGTTCTCGTATATCCAACGTTTTATGAACATGTTACACAACTATGTTGTGCTTCGTTGCACCAACATGTATTACTATATTATTGCACGGACCTTTGTATACTTTACACCTTTGAACACCTTGTACATATTTAGTGATTGCAAACATTAAATGTTCAGTTTTGAACATGTAACAGAGGCGTTAACAAACACGACACAGATATCAATCCTGCACTTATAAAGTCATTTGAATCTGGTTCTGAGATTTATTTCATTTATAAGACCGCTGCATCTGCATTGCTGGAATCTGTTCAGAAGAAAACGGAGCTGCTCAGAATATTCCTAAATGTGAGTGGTAACATGACCTTCGCAGAGAAAAATTTCAATATTTCACAAGTTCTTCACTATTTTTTTACCGTACGGTTAGCCCAGGATCGAGGGTCTTCTATTTTTCTCGTAAGATTTAATTATTCTATTTGCTTATTGTTTATTTTAAGGTAACATGTGGTGAAAATCCAAAGTGTTGCAAAATGGCCTTGAACTCATTTATGAACACTAATGACCTTAAAAAAAAAACAACTGTAAACGATAGGATGCATTCCATGTCATTTGTGAGATTTACTTTGTATAGTACCATATGCACTAGATTTCAAAATTGGTCTACTCTGCCAAAAATCTTGTTAAGTTTTGTCTCAGTTGAAATATTTGATAACCGCAGAGTCTATTAACTTGAAGTCGAACACCTTTATTTCGATTCCGTTCGCGTGAAAGCGCACGGTATATATGTTTACATGCAGCCGTTAATTTTTGAGAAAATGTTGCCTCGTCCTATAATTGCGCTCGACGTTGGGGAACGCATACTAATCGTGCCGTTTTTAAGGAAATCACTCTCGAGGGTTTTATGGACTAGTCCCTCAGGCATTGGGCGCCATTTTGGACTGGCTGGCTAGCTGGCTATGTGGCACAAATAGCCTCGATCTCACATGCAAATGTTTGCTTGGCCGTCTCGAGCTGAAGACAGATTTTTTTTCTCTGCGCAATCAATAAAATAAGAAAGACTTTTACTAAAGATCGAACGCACTTTACCAATCTTTAATTATTACTATTTATATATTTTTTTGGTCCTTCATGGTAGTTGTAGTCTTCGCCAATCTCCATCGTTGTCTATATAGCTCGATTGCTATAGAGAGTGAGCTATTATAGAATATATCCCAAGTTTCAGGTCTGTAGCCATTTTCGCTGATAAGTTATTAGCCAAAATGTCTGACGTAAATTTATAGCGCTTCGGATGGAAACGCCAAGTTCATGGCGGCCATGAAGTAATGCAAGCATTTGCTGTCTTTTTTCGCTTCTAAAGCGATTGGTTATCGATTTTGAAATGGTAAACATTGATCTAAACACATTTTCTAATCTTTCTTATGCACAGGGAATAAAATGTCACACGAGAGCTCATATTTTACAGCTTTTGTGTCGAGCGAAGAAAAAACCGAAATTAGAAATGGCTTTATTTTCAAAATAGAGAACTCCTCGATGCTGAAAAATGAATCGGTAGTTTCGAAATTTTAATTTGCATTAAAATACAACAAAAAATATCAGGAAACGAAACACAAGCCTTAAACGAATATTTGAAATGGCTACGGGCTCGCCGCCCACCGGCACGTGCAAATACGTAAGTACAACATCAGGACAATGTAGTTTAAGCAGTTTGATTTATTTCATATACTTGCTTTTTAAACATCAAAACTTCACAGCAGCATTATAACTGATGTTTTAAGTCAGCTAAAACAATGATTATCCAGTATGGCCTAAATGAGGTAGGCTTAACTGTAATGGTACATGTTTCTTAATTCTTTAAAACTTTATAAACGAACCCCCAGCATTCACTGGGCAAGTCCTCGGCTGCATAGAACGGTGAAGACTCTTTGGACATGCACGTCCATTCGCCAGCTTTTTCCAGCTCCGTCATCATCTCTTGATAGTGTTCTAATTCCTCTTTCATTATGTTGAAACAGAGAACGCCATCTGCAAAGAAGTTAGCACTGGAATTTAGTGTGGATCTTGTAAGGTTTTATCATAGGAAATTTCCATTATTTTTTCCTATTTGTCCACGTATTCATTAGATTTAACTCAAAGAGTTGGTTAACCGTTAACCTGTGACATCATCCAAAGAGAAGTTGAGACCAGCTTGGGGGCGTGATCTTGATACATCAAAAATTTCTTTAAGCGAATTTGCAGAGAGAGGATTTGACCTCAGCAGATGATTTGAAGGTCAGATGCCAGATGTTAAGGGAATTTATCAAGAAGGGTGTTACGTGAGTTTTCATTACCTGATCTATCTCATGATTTGAGTTTTCAAAAAAAACAAAAACAAACCAGCAAAAAACTTGTGAGAATATTTTACATGTTAGCTCCTCAATCTAAAATCATACTCAGACCCACCAGTTTGAACCATTCTTATCATCTCCACGAAAGCAGATGAGCCGATACGTCCTGTAATGAGCGCCCCACCACAAATCAAAGCATCGAATTGCCTAGATTTAATCTGAGGTATCGGCTGCCCGTTCAAAGACGTGCAGATGAATTCAGTATAGACCTCTTTCTTCTTTGCTTCCGTTAACATCTCAGCTGAGATGTCCAAAGCACATAGGTTGGTGTATCCGAGTTTCTTGAGCTCAACTCCAATCAGACCTGTCCCAGCTCCAGCGTCAATGATTTTGATCTGATTCATTGGTTTGTCCTGGTAAATTTCTTTAAGGGCTTTATGCAAAGATTCGGCCAGTGGCTTGAAATATGAAGTGCGCGCCGCTGAATGTTCCTATAAGATGAGAAAGTTCAAGCCGGTTATTACGATTAGAGATGTTCGATAAAGACGACACAAGTCTGGTGTCGCCTTGGGCCTCTTTTCCTCGAGAGCTCCGGTAACTTTACGGACTCGAAAAGCTGATCTGTTTTCAATCAAAATCGAGATTTTACTTTAAGAAATTTTAACTTAAACAAAAGAAATGTTGGGCAACAAGGTATAATAAACTAGTTGTTGAGCTAATAAGATACATGAGAAATTACTCAGTTCTGATTGGTTAATTAATGTAATTCAATGCAGAAGAGAGTTAATTCAGTACCAAACCAGACCGCACAATATCCTTGAACTGTTTAACCGGATTTTGAACTTTTTTGCGCCTTAAAGATGTGAAAATATCATTGTATGTTATTGTTTTGATCGCATGCGATTGTTTTGACCGCACGCATAATGTCACTTGCAGGGTTTAAATAAATTATTTTTGCACTTGATGCGCGCGCTTTGCTTCTGCATGGTTATGATAAACTATCTCGTATTTTTTCATGTATGTTATAAATACGTAATCACACGATTTTTCCCGTGCAGTTTGGAATAAATAAGCACATGTAAATCTTTTCAAAGACCACAAATTGGCACTCCAAATTCTTTGATTACCTATACTAAGACTGCACTATTATTCCCTTAATTAAGATCTAGGAATGTTGCAGCGGGCCCGAATGTTCTAGTAGTAATGGAACATTCGAGAAACGCAACCCTGAATGACGCATCAGGTGTCCGGTGGGTCAGACAGCAATGTGCCACATCTTCCCCTAGACCCTTATTATTATCATGTTACTATTTTAGAGTACCTCGTCATATGTTGCTGACCGTGCAGCATAGATACTTTTGATTTCATCTTCGGTTGTTTCTTTGGTTACTTTTGCTGTTGTTTCTCCGAAATACTTCATTAAGCTTGCTTTTAAATGCTTCTCATCCATTCTATATTAAGGAACAAAATGCAAAATGTCATATACAGTTGTCTGATGAAGGCTTCTAGTATATGAAGTGCGGTGCTTTGTAATTATTTCAAGCCCTGAGAAAAGCCTCAACAGCAAACGTGTAAAATTACGGTAGTTTTTTTTACACGTCACTCGCTGACACGTCACTCGCCTTTTGTGCCACTCTGTAGGGTTGATGATTGACTGACAAAGTGATCCTTGGAAGACGAGGTTGACAAAAGCAATTCATTTCCCATCCACGTTCTTAGCCAAGCTGTTCTTTGAGTAACAAGTTGAAAAACTTCATAGGTTAGCCTTCTAACGGGCAACGAGCAATGAATAACTGTAGTGATTACAGAGTTAAATGTTCTGAATAATACAAAGTACAAAGTTCAATTTAAAGTGTGTAACAAAATGCTGATTGGACGAAACAAACAATGGTAAGAGAACAATGTATGCATTTGCAAGGAAAGTTTTAAATTAACATGATAAAGTTAATGGTAAGTGTAGGTTTTTCCCACTGAAAGTGGATAGCTTTTATGATTTTAAGTTGAAAAAGTTGTGGAAGCACACACACACACACACCACTTTATTAATTTCCAATTAAATTTTACAGAAAAGGGCTTGCCTGCAACTAGCAAAGGCTAATCTAGGCGGGCCATGCTTTGATAGCCGAGTTACAAAAATATATTAAAAATAGATATTAACTAATAAAGTAGAAGGAAAAGAGACAGTATTGAATAACAACAAGAAAAACCGTTGCATTGCCCTAATTTAAAATATTGAAAGTACAGCTGCTGTTTATAAAAATAGTCAGGACAGATCAGCAGAAGTATTACCAGGATTTTACATTTTGTGTAATCTAAGATAAATCTATATAAGAGTCTTGTGAACCTGATATGTTGAATAAAATTTGTTCGATGAGCTCGTTTCTGTAACTTTAGGAGCTTGTCAAGGTAAGATTTACAAGCCTGACCCCATACTGTCAGACCGTATGTTAAGTAAGGAGCTATAAGAGCTTGGTATATATTTAAGAGGGTATGCGTTGGCAGAAAGTGTCGTAATTTTGCGATTAATCCTACGGTTCTGCTTACGTTAATGATTATATGGTCAATATGGTGTTTCCAAGACAAATTTTTTTCAATTAAAGTCCCGAGATATTTGACATAATCTTTATACTCCAGAGCCACCTTCTTGTTCTGTTTGTTTTGGGCAGGGCAAAATATAATTTGTATCATCCGCAAAAAGGTAAAACTAAGCTTATCTGATGATTCCTGTATGTTATTGATATATAACAAAAAAAGCAGTGGGCCTAGAACAGAACCCTGAGGCACTCCACAGGTAGAATCTAACCTTTCAGAAATATGAGGACCAATTTGAGTTGTTTGAGTTCGCCCTTGCAAGTAGGAAGAAAACCAGATGTTTATAATGCCGCGAAAACCATAGTGATCTGACTTGCGCAAAAGAATTTCGTGATCTGCAGTATCAAAAGCCTTTTTCAGATCAATGAAAATCCCGCATGAGAATAAACGGTTGTTCATATTTGTCCGTATTGCATTCACAATATCTGGGATTGCATGCTGAGCAGAATGTGCATTGCGAAAGCCATAATGAGATGGAGTGAGCAAGACTCAAGACTCCATTCTTTTAAACACTATTTTTTCAAAGATCCTGTTGAAATTAGAAAGCAGAGTGATTGGCTTATAATTGTTAACGTCAGTATCATTATCTTGTTTGAATATCGGAATAATCTTTACCATTTTTAGCTTAGAGGGATAAACTCCAGTTGAAATAGATGTATTTAGAATATCCGCCAGAATGCCACTTATAAGATTTGAAGAGCACTTTAATATCTGCGTCGGACACAAGTATAAGCCATGAGATTTATTTTTTGGTATGCAAGAAATTTCTAGTCTTACCTCCTCTGGAGTAACTAGGTTAAAAGCGAACGACGAATCAGTTGAGTTAATTCTCTTAAGAAAGTCAACAGTTAGCGGGTGGCAGGTTATTTGCTAGAGTTGGTCCAACAGAGGCAAAATGTTTGTCGAGAACATTAGCTATACTGATAGGGTCTCTGGTAACTTTGTCAGAATCCGAAGGATCTTTAATGGAAGTAATGGATTTACTTTTCTTTGGTTTGCGTACAAGTAAGTTATTACCGTAATTTCCGGCCGATTACCCGCGGGTAATATGTTAATTTTTCCACAAACAGGTGTTAATGCGGGTTATAAGAAGGTGCGGGTAATAAGATAACTTTTAAAGCTTCTGGTAAAGTTTTAAAACTATAAGCGGGAAAAAACCAGAGATGATAAGATCCAATAAAGATACTCTTTAAAAAACCTCTGTAACAACTCATTTATTTCGCACAGATTGCTCGTTACAATAAGAGACTTTAATGCTTTCGATGAAAGCCGATGCAAATCGAAAACATACAAAACTCGAAAACAAAGCTCTTATCTTGTTTGTACTCTTACTTTCTTACCTTGTCAATTTCACAGCTTGTTTCTTTTTAATTTCAAAAAACGATTCTCACTTACACGGGAAATGAACTTGCAGATAAAAGAATTTAATTGTGAAAAAGCTGGCTTCAGGGCAATTCACACGGGAAATGATGCTGACAGGTTAATTTCGTGCCGCCGCATAATCAATGACGCGAAAGACTTTTCGACGCATCAGTGAAATTTCCTAGCTAGCATTGCCTTGAGTTTAAGAGTAATTTCCCGTTTCAAGGGATTTCTTCGACTTATAAATCTCGAGATATCGATTTTTTTAGAACAGATTTTTACAAGTGGTATCATTCTCAATGAAACAGCTAAGACAAAAAGTGTGAAATTTATTTATTGCACGCTAAAGGATATCCTGTCAACAAAAACAATGAAGGAACTATGTGCGAGTCGACGATTTTCTTTTGTTTTTGGGTGCGAGTTATCTGCCAGTGCGGGTAATCTTTTGAAATTGTTTTCTCGTTATTGCAAAAATTGACCGATGCGGGTAATCTGCCGTGCGGGTAAATGGACGGAAATTACGGTACATTAGTCAAGTTAGAGTCGAAAAATTTTAAATGGTTTTGTTGTTTACTTATACGTGTTAAGCTACAAATTTTGTTTCTATAAGTTTTGTACTTAGAGACATCACCAGATGCATACAATTTGTTTTTAATCTTAATGGAGGTGCGTAAGCCTTGAGTTATCTATGGTTTGGAGAGCTGTTTTGCTTCACGATTTGAAATTGTCTTCATAGGTGCTTGTTTGTTGACAAGCTTATTAAACTTGTTGTAAAAAGGAGAGAACAAATCATTCACTTGATCGCACAATTTCGTTTCAACAATAGCATTCCAGTCCACTTGGGAAAGTTCGGCATTGAAACAATCAGCAGAAAACTGTGAGAAGTTTCGCACTTTAAATTTGTTAACCTTTACTTTATCCTTCACAGATTTTAAGATGCAAAATTGCGAGAAATGATCACTGATATCAGATACTATGTTTCCGCAGGTCACAACTTGGTCAGGATTGTTAATAAAGATATTATTGATAAGAGTAGCAGAAGAGCTACGAACTTGGGTTGGTTTGTCAATTGTAGGGATTACAGCGAAAGGCACCAAGTACTCTCGATCTGCCTTTCTCGGTTCCCTAATACACAATAAATTCTACTTACATCCAATTTTTCCCCACTCTGTGGAACTCTGGTTAATTTCTTCGACTCTTACAATTTGATTCTCTCTGATTACTTTTTACTGACCTCTCCCTGATTTGTGTTGCGCATGCTGCTAAATGAACTATTAAGTGGGTGGCATGCCAATCAACTGGCCTTGAATGGTTATTTTAGACCACGACGTCTACAAAGTAGACAATGACTCAAGTCTATTTCGAGGGTCGCTTAAACGCAAAGAATTCTGACATTTCCGCTCATAAATGGAATATTTAGTTTTTCTTTAAATAAAGCTTTTGTCACAAAATATTTAATTATTATATTTGCCTAGCCTTATAGTCATAGTTTTCGATCAGCACGTGGTATTTTGTTAAACCTCAAATGTGCAAACCGATTTTGTAATCTGATCACCATGTATTATAACATAACTAGTAAATTTGTCTAATCAAATTCAATTGCGCGAACGTGCTTCATATTCCTATTGTGCACGCTCACGACGTCAGCGAACATATCCCTTGAGAAAAAAAATTTTCCATTGGGTTGAAAATTCAAGAAGCTAGAGTTGAAAATGCAAGAAGCTAGAGTTGCTCTCGGCTACGCCTCGAGCAACTCTTACGCATCTTTTGTGCTCTCCAAACTTCCCGCGTACTTCATATCTCGATGAACGCACGCTGACGTATGAACCAATTGTTAATTCTGTATTAATTTTTTCTACCATTTTGATAAAAATGTTATATAAAAATATTAGAGAATACTCGAAGATCAGAGCACATGCTAAAGTATGAACCAATTGTTAATTTAAAGTGACAGTATGGTTAACTAGTGGATACCCTGTAGAGAACATGAAGATATCAGATGTTGGAAGAAAATATATGAAAAGGAATTGATTGAATCAACGGTTTTTGATATCTCTGCTGCAATAAGCTTACAGAGTGACGGTCTTGAATCTGTTCATGGGCGTACAGCTGTCTTGAGGTTGCGGCGTTTGAGAGTCATGTAGCCGAACTAAAACCGTGTGTACCTGATCTAGAAATTTACACAAGCGAGCAGCTTCAGACCCATGCGGTCACAGCTGCTTGGGTTAATCAATCAAAATCTTTGTTTCACTGCACAGAGTGGGTTGACTAATGTCATGTTATGACTACATTTGGTCACGGATGATTGACATCAGGTTCGTTGGCCTGACAATTTTGGGTGGGTGGAACTGTAGGCACGCATTTTTTTATTTTTTTACGCAGTATTTGTTTGCTATTATAACCCAATATGAGTTAAGTGAAAGTAGGAATACCACTGCCGGCACGGTACACCCATCAGAGACAAAATTTTCGGTTAGGAATTTGTCAGTTAAGAGTGTGGCGTACTCTGAAGTGGAAAGACCTTGAATAACCTTCCTAACGATCAGGTGGCTTTTACATTAAAGGGTCACATGACAGACTCTTTGTCAGAGTGTACATGAATTAGCCAGATCAAGGAATCTAGAAAGAACTGTAAATAAGAGAGCTGTCATATTGTATTATTCAGAACTGAAGATGACAGAAGAACTGTCGAAACATGTTTTTAAAGAGTTGAATGTCCGTTATAAAACAAGTAAAGCTAATCTTCACGTCAAGTGCAGTTCTTTACCGCAGACAAACCAAACCTTATCACTGGTATCAATTTTTCTGTTGAATTTATCATAAATTTGCCTCAAAATCCTAACCACTTCTTATAGTATTTCAGAAATTGTGGGAAGCAAATACACGGTGGACGGTGTTAGATTTTAGAGGTGAACAAAACATGACAATCAGAAGAACACTCATACAGTGGAATGAATGAAGAACAAGCTGTTCATCATACAACACTAATTTCTGGTTACCATGTATCTGCGGCAAGTGAACATCATCGGAAAAACCAAGAGAACTTAATTGAATTTGCTTTCAATCGCCTTCAATGTTTCACAATACTTTGAAATGGAAGTCCAACGTAAATTTTAAATGTTCATCGAAATTACAGTTTCAAGGCTACTATTTTCATACTAATGATGTTGAAAACCTTACATTATCTGAGCAAAAAAAAAACGTTCAGAATAATGTTGGGTCGCACTTAAGGAGGAAACTATGTGCTTTCAAGCCCACCATACTTAGCGAAAGGCATCAAGTACTCTCGATCTGCCTTTCCCGGTTCTCTAATACACAATCAATTCTACTTACATCCAATTTTACCCCACTCTGTGGAACTCTGTTTAATTTCTTCGACTCTTACGATTTGATTTTCTCTGAATACTTTTTACTGACCTCTCCCTGATTTGTGCTGGGCATGCTGCTAAATGAACTATGAAGTACATATCTTAAGTACTATTACATATACTATACCTACCAAGATTCCTTAAAAAACGATTTTTTTACGAATTTTCTAATTCAGGTAAATTTTCAATCCTCAAAACGTAGCTCAACTTTGGCGACTAAAATCGGCCATTGTTACATGGCTCCATAAACTGATACAATAACCATTGTCAAGCATAAGGTTTCTTCTTTTAGAAACTGCAATAAAATTTGGGCTACTCAAACTCCGAATTTTTAGAGCGATTTATATAAGCGTATTTGAGCTCAAGAAGCGTGTTACGTGACCAACGTGACTTGCAAGTCACACTAAGAAAAACATTACCAAAACACTCGAATTCCCTCTTATATCATATAAAAACTTCGAAACAGGTCTCCTTCATATTCAATATATATATAATTTTCTCCTGAAGCCAAAGAGTCAAGGCAATCTGGGCAATTTTCGATAGTCTAGTATCTGCAAATTGCTGGTCTATGTTGTTACAACGGCCATATTCGCAACTAATACCAACCCAACAATAACAAAAACTTTTTTAACATCAGAAGGAATTGCCCAGGCTATAATTACACAAAATGTTACCTTTAGAAGTGGTTTCATGCCAAAAGTATGCACTTTAGCCCGCTCCACCGTTTTCAAAAGATATCCATGCTACCATTTCTCGCCACCGTAGTGCGATCGATGGTAAGTGATTGCGTTACACACAGGAAGCTCATTAAGTGAGAATGATACAGAAGATGACCAACGTTTTTGACAGAGCAAGGTTGGTCTTTATAAAATCCTTTCGATCTAAAACATGTTTATGTAAACGTGAGGCACTGCCAATTTTTTTTAAAACAAAGCTTCAAAGGGATAATGACATATCGTAGCCGCGTATGGCGCATATGCACCTATTGTACTTATTTCTATCAAGACAGTTGGAAAAATGTTGGTGTCTCTCTATTCCAGGAGTCCCTATTTTCTGAATACGAAGACTATGGTCACTTCTAGCTGGAAAGTTTCTTTTTTTCTTTGCACGTACACGACTTTATCAGTTCATAGATCAGACCAATGTATGGCGCTTTTCGTATAGCAAGAAGGGAATCAATGTCCAAATGGAAATATGTGCATATATCTTGAAGGAAAGAAATACTGAAACGAGTAGGCTTGTTCGTGGCATACAGTTGACAGAGATTGCATGTGTCATAAAAAATGGGATGACTAAGCTGGCACTCTTGAATTATCTTGTCACGAGCTGAGGAGTGTGCCATTTCTTCATCAATGGCTGGTACATCGATTTCTGCTACCGATCCCACCTGTTTGATCTTTGCTGCTGACCTTGAGGAATACGACTTTGCCTGCTGTGGTGATAAAAACTCGCCAACAGCAAATCGACGCTCACCATTTTCATTTTTAGCACGACGCATATCACTCGCAACTTAGGATGGATCTTCTTTGTAACCAGTCTGCTGGCCAAGTTTGAACTTTTCATCGAGACAATTCTCTTGGTTTTCGTTGAAATGCGTTGATTTCTTAGACGCCCTCAGAGCCCAGCCTTCCGAAAGTTTTGTCGAGCTCGAGCTTGACAACAGTACAGTGGAGCTGGCCATCTGAGGTTGTGTGCTTGTTCCTTCTTGCTTTATCAATGAGGGTAGTTTTCTCTTCTTCTATCCTGTACTTGCCGTAAATAATATAATATTCGAGATTCGAATACCTCTGGAATTCAAAGACGCATCCTTCAGAGGGACATGAAAATAAGCCATTATGGAATACCTCTTTACTTTTGTCTTGGGCTTCACCTTCATCTTTCTCCTTTTCTTCTACTACTTCCACTGGGGCATTCTCCGATGATACTTCAGGGTGCTGAGTAGCCGTTTGATTTGACGTTTCCACAAAATCTCCAGAGGAAAGCTCTATTGCAGTCGAAGATATTGGTAATAGACTCACTTGAACTAAAAAGAAAAACACTGAATATTAATATTTCTAATAAAAATTTAACATTGCAGAGGACCATTTATATTTGTAGTTTATAACTAGCGGTTGTGCAATTTAAGATAATTTCGTATTGATTCTCACCTGGTGCCTTAGACCACTGAAGGGTTTTCCCTTTCCCTACGTTATAAGTTCTCCACACAGTGACACTTTTCCCGTTATTTGTGTAGCTGAAATGATTTTGTGTGTTAATCCCCTTCCATTTGCCTTGAGTGGCGACTGTTTCATCTATTACGGTGTCAACAAGGGCAACCCTCACTCCACTTACTCCACCGTGGGACAGAGTGGCATCTTTGAAGTCAGCGGCAGTCAGAACGTCGTTACCTTCATTCACATATCGCCGAACATGTCCTTTGGTGGTGGTAGCCTTGCGGTTGCACGGACCTTTGCCACCCTGTTGATCGCTAAAGTCGACCCTCTTGATCAGAATCCCAGTTTGACGTGACAAAAGTGGGCATAAAGTCACCATAATAACACCATGATAGCACCCCGCATTATCTTGACACAAGAAGGCTCTTGTTATTTCTGGGTGCTCCTTTTTTAAGGCTGTGAGTACATGCTTTAGGATCCATACTACTGCATCACTGTTTTGGCTTGTATTTTTAACAACGTGGATAATTAACTGGCTCTATATTCTACCATTTTTCTTACGGACTATGACACTAATGTGCCAAGAGCAAACCAATCTGCTTGCGATTCACGATATCTTTGAGGCAAGAACTTCATTGCCCAGTCCTGGGTAATGAGGATGGAATTATCGTCGAGCTCTTTTAAGACAACCGTTCGCACTTTGTCTTGTACTGACCTCAGAAAA